TGGACACGCGCCGGGAGGGCTGGCCCGGGACTGCTGCAGCTGGCCGGCACGAAGCTCGGCGCCGTAACCCAGGGGTGTCTGCGTCCTCTTCTTCCCTCGGTCCCGGTCCGCCGCTCCAGCGCTCCAGCAGTTTGAACGAGACGCTGCGATAAAGTGGGGGCCGAGGTGACCCGTCCGCCATGGTGGTGGCAGTCACTCTGGGGGGGGCTGGCCTCGGGGCCCCGCGGCCACCCCCCCCTTGCAGCCCTGCTCCGAGGGTGCGCAGGGGCCGCGGTCCGAGAGCCGGCGTGCGGCGGCTGGATAGGAGGGTGCGGAGAACTAAGCAGAGGTTTATCAGTCGAGGATCAAGTTTCTGCGGCTGCGGACAGCAGCGGCTTCATCCTGGGCGGCCCCTCTCGCCCCAGCGGCGACCCCAGGCCCAGCCCTTGCCTCTGAGGGAGCAGACAGGGGCATCGCGGCCCGGCCGGCGAGGGGCCAAGGCTTGCTTCCTGCTCACAAAGTCCGCCTGCAAAGCCCGGCGGCGGGCCTGCCTCTCCCCCCCCCACCACCACCTCCCCAAGCTCCCGCTCCAGCTCCCTCTCCCTCCCCCCTAGACTGCTCGCTCTCTGCCCCCTTTTGTTGCAAATAAACTTTGAGGCAGAGGAAAGGGGGCGGGGGGCGGGGCCTGGAGCCTAAAAGAGGGGGTGGTCTCCGGGAGCGCGCGCGGCTGGGAACACTGTGGGGGAAGGGAATCGGGGAGGAGCCGAAGGAGAAACGAGATGTTTGAACATTTGTAGATCTAAACGACCCTCTAGAGGATTCCATCGGGAAAGCTGCAGGCTGATCCTCCCCGGGGACTCGTTCGGATACACGGGAGCTCAGAGAGTGCACAACTCCGCAGAACGCAGCACCGCGGTTCAGCCTCTTTCACGGGGAACCTCTGCCGGAGGGGCTCCAACATGGCAACCCAAGATGCACAGACTCTAGTACACACCGATACTCAGGTACACGCAGAAACTCTTTTGGCCGGAAAAGAGGTGGGACCCAGGGTGACGTGGGCGGGGCAGGCCCTCCCGAGAGCTCGAGGCGCCCCACCTTGCTCAGACCACGCCCCTCACCCATCCTTCAGCGGCGAATCCGGCTGCACCACGCCCATGTTCCGCCCCGCGCTCAAACGCTCCACCTATATACCACCTCCTTGTGGCCTGTCCATCTCTGACAATCCCTTAACCCACCCAATGCTATTCTAGAATTCCCACCTCTCAGAACTATTGCACCGCAACTTCCCCCCCTCCGTTTTCCTAGCTGCCACGCCCCGCACCTTCCCTTTAAATCCTGGCAGCGCTTGTCTCTACATCCCTTCCCCCTTCTCCCTGAGGTCTGAGTACGGGGCTTTTGCGCCCTCTGCGGGCCGGATTCTCCGCTCTTTTCGAGGTCTGTAGAGATAAAACCTCATCCAGAGTTAGGAAGGTTTGTTTCACTTGCTTTCAGGCGTTCCCCGCCCCCTTACTTTGCCAAGCACTCTGCCCTTTCTGCACAAAAGGAGTTGGACGGGAACGCCCTCAACCACCAAACCTATACTCCTACCTGCGGCTGCTCCACCCTCCACCCTCCAGACCAGGAAGGTGTAGGTCTCTACTGCTGCAACAATGTTCTACCCTAGAGCTCCCCTCCCACCTCTGCTGCAGTCTGGCAAGTCTAAAATTGTTTTGGTTACTGGGGCGTCAACTTCTTCCCACCCTCTTCTGCTTCTGTTAGGTCTCTCTTTGCACAGACGGTTTAAATGTAGGACTCTACATCTAAATGAGTGAGAATATATGGACTGCCTAGGACGTACGGATAATATTTTATATATTTTATTTAATTCTCAAGCTACCCTTCTTGAGGATAAATGCTATTGAAGAAGTAACAATGGCCACTGCAGAAGTCGGAGGGAAAGGGTAGCTCAAATGTGTGGCTCAGATTCAGACTTTAAGAACTACTATCGTCACAGTCCTTCAGACAGCTTTCCCTGGCTTCAGATCTTGATAAAGAAGGAGGGTCTGTCCCCAGCAGCTCTGCCTCTCTGCCAGTGAGCTGTAGGCAGAACTCAGCGTCCTTGGAAACAGAGGACAAACTCCTTCAGCTCTATTATGTGTAAGGCCCTATTCCTCCCACGCTCACCTCATAAGCAGTTAAGGTCAATGGTGCAGGCTTTACCCAACCAACCCCAAGTCTGTATCCAGCGCAGCCAGACACTCAGCAGCAGAACTGAATGTGGAGAGCAAGATGGGGAGAGAGTAGAATGCTGGCTGCAGAATAAGGGAGGGCAGCTTTTAGCAGGACCTTTAGCACTTGCTGCTCACACAGTCTCAGGGTAAGAAGCTATTTATCTTTCTTCTGGACCACCCATTTGTGTGTAGGAAGTCTCCAGGTGTGGAGACCACCCTTCTGAGTTGAGATCAGCCTTCTCCTGCCATTCCCTTACCCAATTTTATCTCAGTTCTGCCTCAAAGGGTATAAGTGGTAAATCTTGCCCTCACCATTGGCAAATTAGTGGGCAAGGAAGAGATCTCTGCCAGGTCTGTGCCCCTCTGCTCTGCCTTGCTTGGTGATAATGAATAAACCTCCATGCTTCTCCGGGCCTCAACTGCCTTGTCTGAAAACAAACAAGTTTAGGTGTGTGGAGTCACTGTGCCCCTCCATAATGATAGTTCCTACGGCGTGATGTGTTCTTTTCTTTTATTGTATGGGATCAGACCTGGGCCTTTGGGAATGCTTGGTAGTCACTCTCTGGCCCAGCAGCAGTCCTGTCTCCAGAGTGTGTGCTTTCCCAGGCCCTCCACACTGGGAAATCTTGCCCGTGTGACCCTTCTGAGACAGGTCTTCATCCCATGAATGGGCAAGCTGATGGAGAGGAATGGAGACTCAAGCCACAGGCCTTGCCACCTTTATTTGGCTAGAGTACGCTAGCCTGGCCTCTGGCCCCACTTGTGAGGACAGAGAATATTTAAGGCTGTTGGCTAGGCAGAGTGGCATCTCACTCCGGCCTCTTTTTATTTTGCTTTATGTGTATGGGAGTTTTTGCCTGCCTGTATGTGTCTCGGGTTCCTTGGAGCTGGAGTTGCGGAGACTTGTAAGATGCCATGTGGGTCTCTGTGAGCCGAGGCTTCTCATGTGTGAAGAATGAATGAGCACCATGGCTAGTCGCTCGCTCCGCTGGTAACCCTTGGAGGTCAGAGCTGTAGAAGTCCTTGGGAAAAATCAGTGTGGAAAGACTGAATGGTCAAGGTCATGTGCAGGATGGACCTTGGAAAGGAGCTACCTGAAGGGGAGAGCTGGCTTCTGACTCCTTTCCAAAGCCAAACGATCTCTTGGACACTAACTGTACTCCCATATTAGACCTAGAGTGGATAGGATTTATTAGTTAGCATCTCTTATTCAGTTTACATTCTTGTAAGTTGCTTGGTTGACTCTTAGCAAAAAACAAAACAGCCAGGGTCTTTATAGTAACTTTGTCTCATTCCTGTGTCCCACCACTGAGGGACAGTCTTGGACCATCTAAGATCCGTGCTAATCAGCATTCATAGTCTCTGTCTCTGTCTCTGTCTCTGTCTCTCTCTCTCTCTCTGAATGTATGAATGTGTTGCTAGGATTGGACCCTGAACCTCAGTCATACTAGATAAGTTCTATACCACTGAACTATATCCCCGGCACATGTCTTCTCCCCCTTTTTGAGACAGGGTTCTCGTAAGTTACTCAAGCTGACTCCGAACTCATTCTGTAACCTAGTCAGGTCTTGATCTCAATCCTTTGGCCTCAGCCCCTCAAGTAACTAGGGTTATAGACTTCTGTAACTGCCTTAGGTTTTTGAAATGTGTGTGGGGTCCGTGGGTAAAGGCACTTGTTGCCAAGCCTGACCTTCTGAGTTTGATCCCTAGGATAAAACATGTTAGAAGAAGACCAACTCCTGAAAGTTGTCTTCTAACCATCACACGCAAAATAAAATAAAATATGATTTTAAGAATTGAAAAAATGCAAAGAAACAAAGTGTCATAGTCCAGGCTTGCCTCCAACTAACTATGTATTCTGAGCTGGCATATACTGTGAACCATTGTGCCTGCTTTAGTTCTTTATAACTTCATAGAAAGAATCTGGTCAGCCGGGCAGGTGATGGTGCATGCCTTTAATCCCAGCACTTGGGAGGCAGAGGCAGGTGGATCTCTGAGTTTGAGACCAGCCTGGTCTACAAGAGCTAGTTCCAGGACAGGCTCCAAAGCCACAGAGAAACCCTGTCTCCAAAAACAAAAACAAAAAAAAAAAAAAGAAAGAAAGAAAGAAAGAACCTGGTCTACAGAGAGTTTAGAGAAACTTCTTGTTCCTTAAGAGTCTACTGCTAAGCTTTAAGTGTTGCATGTTGCTATAATTAATTCTAGATGCATAAGCTATTCTAGTATATTGATACATTCTCTTAATGGATATTCATATATTTGCAGTATCAATGAACTCCCGCATAACTCTGAGTTCATGGACAAAGGTGCTTGTGACAGAAGTGTTCAGCATTAAGAGGCACTGTGAAAGCCAGGATGAATAGCCCTGCGTGGTTTTGGGTAATCTGGGTTTTCTGTTATATGACATGTATGTACTTCCCCACACTGGGGCTGATCCTTCCAGGTCGCCAGCCTCCTGGGTGTTTCCAGCCCGCAGCTCTTCCTTCCCTTCAGGTTCCAGCCTATGTCTTGAACCCTATCCCATTTAAATCACTGTTTTGCCTTTATCTGTGGGGTGATGAAATCTGACTAAAGAGTTCATTTTGACTGGGGGGTGGGGCATGGCCTAAAAACAAAAGCAAAATAACAAAACCCACAAAATTACATTTATTTATCTCTCTTATGCAAAAGTTTTGGCAAATGAATGGGAACACGAGCCTCCCCCAGCTTCTCACTCCTTCTAAGAAGTGGGTCCCAGGAATCAAAACCTTGACTTCATGTTCATGATCATGCCCCAGCCTTCCCCTTCCCCTTGTAAACAAGAAGGGCTGGGGGAAAGGCCTTTATTGAATTTTGCAGTGTTAGGGATTGAACCCGTGCTATTGAACTATAGCCCCAACTCTTGATTGTCTGAGACAGGGTTCCCCCATGTATCAGGCTGGCCTGGAGCTTTTTATCCTCCAGTCGTAACATCCTGAGTTCTGGGATAACAAGCATGAACTGACCGGCCTCTGAAATATAGGTGTCTTAGCTTTGTGGTTGATGTAGAACTTCTTTAGGGCCGGACCCAGGCCTGTTGAACCAAGTTTTACTTCTCTGAATAATTTGGACTTGTGGGGGAAGCTTCTGGCACCATGGCCCCCATGGCAAATACACAGCTGCCAGTGCCTCAGGGCTTGCCCTGGGGCCTCAGACTCTGCCTCTGCCACTTGACTGTGAGCTTCTGTAGGAGCTCATGTGGCTGCCGCCGGAACTTCTGCTGTGTGAAGTAAAAGAGGACAGGGTCCAGTACACTGTTGGCACTGGCAAAGGGCCGAGTGCCTTTGTAGGCAGCTGCAAATGTCTCCAGTACAGGGCAAGAGACACCGGGTGTCGACCGCACTGCCAAGTAAGCTGTCTTGGTGATGTGGAAAGGAAGGAAACTGATGGCGAAGACAGCCGCCACCACCACAGCCATACGGGCTGCCTTGCTGCGCCGCTCTTGGGCCACAAGTCCTACTGGGCCATCCTGGCGGCACAGGCGGCGGGCCATGCAACAGTAGCAGGCCAGTAAGGCTGTGAAGGGCAGCAAGAAGCCGATGACCGTGAGAGCCATGCCATAGGGCAGGTAGCGGGTGGACAGGATGGGTGGGCTCAGGTCATAGCAGACAGTGCGGTTGCGTTGGATGCCTGTGGCAGCAAAGACTGCTGTGGGCAGGCACTGAGCTGTCACAGCCAACCACACAGCTCCACATACCACCCAGGCAGCACGGCGACCTCCACGCTTGTGCCAGGAGGCCAGGGGGTGGCAGATACCCAGGTAGCGCTGGAAGCTAATGCAGGTGAGGAACAGGATGCTACCATGTAGGTTGGCATAGAAGAGAAAACGCACGAGGCGACAGGCCAGGTCTCCGAAGGGCCAATGGTCCCCTCTGGCGTAGTTATAGATAAGCAGGGGCAGTGAGCAGGCATACAGCAGATCTGCCAGTGCCAGGTTCAGGGTGTACACAGCTGAACGCGTCAGGGTCTGACGGGATGCGCAGAGCTGAGCGATGACACAGATGTTCAGTGGCAGGCCGACCACCAGCACCACTGAGTATACCGGGGGTAGCAGCAGTTGCTTGAAATCCTCACGGTAGACACACGTAGTGGGCGGCAAGCCTGGTGCCTGGATGGTGCCATTATCCCGCTCCATTACTGCCCAACTGCTTTTCCTATGCTTGGAGAATCTGGGGAAGGAAAACACACGTCTCAGTGGCGTGCTCACTAGCCCACTTGGCACTATGCCTTGAAATATCTGAACAAATAAGTCCTTAAGTTTGTCACCTCTTAAGGCTCATTGCCCCATAAAGATCCATACAGAACTGCTATGGAAATGTGTATTCCAATAAAGCTCAAGCTTGAGAGAAATCAAAGTCATTTCGTTTCTCTAGTATTTCATTTCTGCTCAGTGTTCCTAGTGAACTTCTTTATCTCTCACAACCCTAGTCAATTGTCTCTTCTGTGGGGCGGGGGCGGGGGCGGGATCGGTGGGTTTGAGTTCAAATCACAGTTGTGACCTTGGAGTGAGGATTTACCTCCTCACTCTCACTATTGGAGGAATAAGAATGTTGTCGTTAAGTTAGAAGACTTCTGATATCTCTGGGGGTAGGACTGTGGTAGTGGTATGTACCTGTCTCATGCAGATGGAAGCCCTCTATGAGGAAGTACCAGGTTTGGTGTTTCTCCACGTCTTCAAGGCAGGTTGGGTCCAGGGCAGAGAGCTCGGGTGGCTCTTAGTTTACCCCTGTGGACAGTGCACACACTGAGAGCCCACTGAGGAAAACGCCACCTTCAGAACCCATGTTCTGTCAGTCACAGCTCATCTGGAAAACAGGAGAGGTAACTCAGGTGATCCTGGAAACTTCCTTCCAGTCGACTTTAGTGGGTGGGAGTGGGGTTGTGTGGATGAGTGTGGGGCAGAGGCTAGAGCAGCTCGGGTCGTTCACTGCTGCTCTAGTACCCAAGCCAGGAGGCTCACGCTGTCTGTAACTCCAGCTTCAAAGGAGCCAATACCTGTGGTATATTTGCACACACATGAATGAACATACACAGGCATACATGCATATGGTTCAGCAGTTAAGAGCACTGACTGCTCTTCTAGAGGATCCAGGTTCAACTCCTGACATCCACATTACATCTCATAACTGTCTGTAACTCCAGTTCCATGGGCTCCGACACCCTCACAAAGACATACAAGCAGGCAAGACACACAAAAGGCATAAAAAGGAAAAAAGCAGAGGTGGTCCCTGGTGGCCAGAGGGAAACTCCAGTTCTCAGGGGGAAACCAATCAGGAATCACACTGACCAAGCTTTACAGAGATGAAAACTAGATGTAAATGTTAAACAAACAAACAAACAGCTTTCCCAGGAGAATGTTTATCCTGGCTGGGGACGGTGTTCATCTGTATGTAGTGACATTTCAACTGTATTTTAATAAATAAATACTACCTGAAGATCTGAGAGTAAAACATTCCCACTGGTCAGCCTTACAGGCCAGGTTATAGTAACACACCTCCAATCTCAGTAGCCATAATGACACACACCTTTAATCCCTGTAGCCACACTAGTTGCCATAGAAACTGGGCAGTGCATGCCTTTAATCCCAATGGTGCACACCTTTAATCCTAGCACTAGAAAGGATTATAAAACGGGAGGAAACAACTCTCAGACGCAGTCTCCTTCTGAGATTCTTGGAGGAAGGATCGCCGTTTCAGACTGAAGTCGAGGTAAGAGCCAATAGTTGGCTGTTTTGCTTTTCAGATCTTCAGGTTTGAACCCCAATTTCCAACCCTGAGTTTTTATTAATCATGCTTCATTTGGTGCCCAACATTTTAGGGCACAAATTTACTTAGAAGCCATTTGCCTGAGGCTTTCTAGCCATGAGCCCAAGCCAGAGTTGGGATTGGAATTTTAGCTCTAGGAATTGGAACCCAAACCTAGCTACCTTGGTTTAAGAGAAAAACTAGTGTTTCCAACTCCCATCCTCCCCAGCTTGGCTTCCATGTAAAGATGGAAAATACACAGAGAATCTGGATACTGTATATTACTGTGTTGTCTTTGAATTGATTGACTGCTGAGGAAGGAGCAACAGCTGTTAAAAGACATTTGATTATTAATGCTGCTGGATTAATCCAACCTACATATTTTGAAAATGCCTGACTTCAAAATTTAAGTCAATAGATATGTTACTTTGAAGAAGAGATTTTGCTTTTGTTTCCACAGGAAGTGAGAGGCTGTGGATTCATTCTGGGTTAAGAAAAATAAAGTCTGATCAAGGAAGACCCCATGAAAAATCTCCAGTAGGAACAGATGGCCCAGATGACCCAATGTTTCACAGTACGTTTGTTGCAGTTTCCTGTGTCTCTCCCTTAGGGAGGCTGGTGGCTCTCTGACCACACTGCCAGAGAGAGTTTTGGCCTCACATGGATGAAACTATAGTGGCCTCTTGTTTCTCCAGCCTTGGGAGAGACTGGTTCTTCTAAGACTTCATCCTCTGGGAAGGAGCAAGAGCTGCAGAAGAGGGGCCTCTGAATAGACCTCAGGCACCATCTGCTCCCTGATGACACTCCACTCTGTCTCTGAGGACTAAGAGCTGAGTGTTCTCACTCCTGCAGGGAGTGAAGAGAGGGAGGGATCCTTTGATCCCTTACTGTGAGCAGTAAGATAGTTTAGACCTAGACTATCTCAAATCACAGCTTCTTTCCAGGCTCCAGCTATGCTGCCTGCAGTAGGAACCCTTCAAGAGGTTCCTCTGCTCTCGAGGAAACACCTACTTTGTACAGTCCTCTGGCTTTGTCCGACGATCCCCAAGTCCTCTCCACACTCCTCTCATTCCTGCTCTTCCTCATTCATCACACTGTTCCCAACCCTGCGCGGCCACTGCAACAGACCTAGCACCACCACTGGCCTGTTCATCTGTGCTGATCTTTTCACAATGTGCTCCTAGTCCACCTATGAAGCTCACGGGCCCGTCTCATCTCGGCCCTCCTTTTGAGTTCCCAGCTGAGCAGAATCCACCCAGCTGGCCAAGGTGTCCAGCCACATCTGTCCCACCCAGCACTGGCCCATTTGCTCACAACACAGACTCACAAGCAGCATCCCATCACCATCTTGTGTCTATGGTACCAATGTGCTGGGGCAAAGGATACTCAGACATGGGCTGCCCCGGCTCCTGTCCTCAGCCACGCTGTAGCATCTCTGGCATCACTTTGGACAGCTTTCTCTGCTTCCTGACCCTGCTGGCTCTGACTGAAGTAGGTCTTGGTGTGTGTGTGTGGGGGGCACCTCCCTGTCACTCCCACACCTTAGCCTGGCAGAAACAGCCTGGAGGGGCGCAGAGCTGAATAAAAGGCATCTGTCCCAGAACTCTGTCTAACCATGGGAGGAGGGCACAAAGGGACAGAAAGAGGGATAGGGGATGAGCAGACCCAGCCTCACAGACCCAGGAGGTGTCTTTTACCCAGCTCTCCCTCAGTGTTCTCATCTGTTAAATGGACAGATGGGTTATGACAGTTCCCAGTCCTTCCCTTAGCTGTAACACCTGAGCCACCAGGAATCCATTCACTTCTCTGATCCTGTATCCTGTACCCATCCTCCATTTTCCATCCATTTGGTAGGTCATCTACTAACATTCCTGTCTGCACCTCTCTCAAGATGGCAATCTACTGGTAAGGTCCATCCTTACCCAGCTACTTCTCATGCTTCCCTTCCCACATGCCCTTTTACCACAAGCCTTTATTAAGCACCTACTGTATGTCATCAACTCCTCCCACATATCCCTATTAACAGTCACAGTACAAAAACCCAGGCGCATGAGAGTGGGTGTGGAGATGGGCACAGAAATGAGGCTTTGGGGCTGCTGGAACAATGGGAGGATGAGAAATGGCTCCTTACTGTTCTTCGGGGATGGTGGCCTAAAGATGGGTTTTGGCGGGGAGCCACTGAGGCAAATGGGTGGGGGAGGGCAGTTCAGGGAATGGATCCAAGCTGGTCCTCAGCTCCCACCTGGCTCTCTCAGCTGCTGGCTACAATGTGACAGTTGCCACCTGTAAGATGAAATACCATAGACAAGGACTCTTCATACTCTGTCACTTGTGGGGGGACTTTTAGAAGGCCATCCACGCAAAAGCTTACCCCAAGCCCACTTTACAGTACTGGGGAAGCAAGGGAGAGCCAAAATTTGGAACCAAAGCGAGATCAAGGTTCAACTGCAGGTAAACACTTGGCCAGCTGTGTATAAATTGGGCACTTACAGTTTATTTGGGTGTGTGCCAGGAGATCCAAGCAGGCTCGGTAATCTTACCTTCTTCCTAGTAGCTAGCTCCTTGTGATGTTCCCAGGACAGTCTCCTGTGGCCCAGGGTCAGTCAGGGTTGAGGCAACTTTGAAGACCTAAGGGAAGATGGGGTGCTGGCCCTGGAGCAAAGCATGGGTTAATACTTCTAAATGGCTGTGGCTCCTGCGGGGACTAAGGTGATTCCTGCAATGAGAGCCTGAAGCCATGAGATGGCGCTAGTGGACAGCTGACGAGGACAAGACTCGTGCCCGTGCTGCAGGGATCTCCTGTCAGGCCGGCGCTGAGCAAGCCCCATTCCTCTGGCCCTCCTCAGATTTCCTCTTATTTATCCACCTCAGCAAGCTCAGGCCTCTGTCAGATCCTCACCCTCTCAATGCAGCTCACAGCAGCCACTTGCGTGTCCAGCCAGGAGTATCGCTATGAGGCCAGGCATCTTCTGCCCATCTCTACTCCAGGTATCTGGGTAAACCACCAGCAAAAACACTGCAGCCCTCACCCACCGAGGGACAACCTCTACTTGCTTCCTTTTCTTAGTCCAGATCACAACTATGAGGTCGGTTCTGCAGCACAGTCAAATGAGTGCAGACGCCAGGAAGAACTGACTCAGCGCTCTTGGTACTCTTAGTCGCAGAACGCCCTTTGACTGATCCTCCGTGTCTGGAGGGACGAGGAAGCCTGTGGGACAGAGGCAGGAGCTGGAAGCCTGAGTCACCACCTACTAACATTCCCTGCTCCTGCTGGACCTGAGATGAGGCTTCCAAACTTGGACTCCCTGCCTGCTGGGAAACGACGCTGGGAAACCCCCTTGCTGTATCCCAGCCTTGTGAATTTAGCAGCAAAGGTGCAGGATGGTGGGGTTAAGACTTGGCTTCCTTCTTCTGAGTCAGGCTAAGACCCAGCCTGCTGTGTGGCTTAGGGCCTACTATCCAATCCCTCTGAGCCTGAGAAACTTACGGTAGCTGTGTTCCCTTGCTTACAGGGTTATACCCTCTATTCCAGGTATCACCCAGCCCTGACCCTGTGTGGCATCCAGTCTGAGTACCTTGGAACCCACCTCCAGACAGACTGAGGTCGGTTCCTTATGCCAGTCCCTGGTACCTGGGGGACAGTAGGTAGGGGACAGAATCCCCATTAGGATAATTCTGGTCCCCCCAGGCTACAGTTGGCAAAGCCAGCACAAGGCAGCAGGGGGACAGGCATCTGCTTTCTCTTCTCCCTTTTTACTTCCCCTTCCAGCACTGCGGAGTGGGAACCAAGTGGAACTGAAAGCTCCATTTTGAATATGAAGAAGCAGCTGCAGCCTGGGACTGGGGCCCCTTCTTTTGTTTCCTTGGGTAGAAATTCCATAGCCCTCCTTCTGGGACCACAGGCTCTCCCATCCCTTCCTCTCACTGTGGACCCAGTGAGGGCCTGCTGCTCAGCTCTGAGGACTGCAGCTGGCTGTAGAGCATAGAGCCCCAGGAACCAGGCTTCCGGTGGTGGTGGAAGAGAGGGCTCCGGCCTAGCACTTGGCCTGCCCTGCGGGTGGACCTGGAAAAGTTCCTTTCAGAGCCTTGAGGATGTGGGAACATGACCTGCCCATGTGAGAGGAGTGAGTCTTTGGGCCCTGTGACCACCTCAGGGATGGTGGAACTCCGCACTGGGCACCTGGAAGTCCAGATTGGAGTTCTGACCAATGGTTAAGAAGGAGAGAGGTTTTTGTCAGGATTGCAAAGCTGGGAGGAGTGAGGCTGGAGTTGCCACAGCTGTCTGGACTGTGTGCCAGGCATGATGCTGTGTCCTGGAGATACAACCACGAGGAGCGGACTGTCAAAATCCAAGGGTGGCAGAGTAAGGACAGGGAGCATCATGGGACTTCTGGGTCCAGCTATGCCTAGGCTTTAGCCTCCCACTGAACTGTAGTGGTACAAGCCAATAAATTCTTGTTTTGCCTCAGTCCACAAGGCCTGGGTTTCTGTCCTTTGATATCAACCATCCAAAACTAGGTGTGGTGGTGCAGGCCTGCAATCTTTACAGCTGGGAAGTAGAGTCAGGGGTATTAGGAGTTCAAGGTCATCCTCAACTACGTAGCAAATTAGAAAGAAGAACTGGAGATGTAGCTGTCAGTAGAGTACTTGCTTAATGTTAGTTCACCAAACCCTGGCTTTAGTTCACAGTGCTGTACAGCACAGGCATGGAGAGATGGAAGCTGGAAGACCCAAAGTCTAAGGTCATCCTCGGCTATGTGAGTTCAAAGCCAGCCTGGCATACATGAAATTTTATCTCAAAAAAGAGAGAGAGAAAGAAAGAAAGGAAGGAAGGAAGGAAGGAAGGAAGGAAGGAAGGAAGGAAGGAAAAGAAAAGAAGGGGCTGGAGAGATGGCTTAGTGGTTAAGAGCTTATACTGTTTTTTCAGAGTGGTTAAGAGCTTATACTGTTTTTTCAGAGGATCGAAGTTTGGTTTACAGCCTTCAAATCAAGTGCTCACAACTGCCTGTAACTCTCGGGAGTCTGGTACTCTGACCTCCACAGGCCCCACACTCACCTGCACATATCTATACACATACACATAGTTAAAATGTGTGCGGCCGGGCGGTGCTGATGCATGCCTTTAATCCCAGCACTCGGAAGGCAGAGGCAGGTGGATCTTTATAAGTTCGAGGCCAGCCTGGTCTACAAGAACTAGTTTCAAGATAGGCTCCAAAGCTACAGAGAAACCCTGTCAAAGGAAAAAAAATGTGTATGTGTATTTCTGGACAGATTTTCTCTGTGCAACAATCCTGGTTGTCCTGGAACTCATTTTGTAGACCAGGATGGCTTCAGACTCACAAAGATTGCCTGCCTCTGCCTCTGCCTCTTTAGTTTTGGGATTAAAGGCATAAATCACCACCACTTTGCTTTAAATATATATTTTTAAATCACCATCTTGCCTGTAGTTCTGACCTGCAGTACGGTCTCCACCTCCTCTCACAGAGTTTTGTCAAGAATCCCATCATCTCTGCATGGGAAACTACAACAGGAGGGTGGGGCAGAGGAACTGTCTGGTGGAGCACGGTGGGAGTTCTCAGAGTGACCATGGTCACCTCAGTAGCTCTTGGTGGGACAGCAGAACCCATTTGGGCTCCACCTGCTGTATGTTCTAGAAAGGTCACTTTACATCCTTGGGTCCCCATCGTCCCTGATACTGCTAATTTGGTGACTGTTCAATGGAAGCCTGAACTGGGATAAGGACTCTGGTACCATGGTACCAGGATCTTACATGGGATGGGCTGTACTGGTCCCACTTTGCAGATAAGGAGTCAGGTAGCTGTTGTTTGGATGTATTGTCGCCCTACAAAACCTTATGTTAAAAGCTTTGTCCCCAGCTGGTAACACTAGACTGGTGCCTGGAGGGTGGCGGCATCGACCTTCTCTGTGAGCGAGCTCTCGCACAGTTCCCGTTGGAGGGTAGGTAGGAACAGGTTGGAGGAAGTGGGTCAAGAGGGTGAGACTTTAAAGGACATGCCTTGTTCTCCTCCTCCTCTTCCCCCTCTCTACCCGCTGGCTGCCACAGGGGAGCGGCTTTGTCCCACCTTGCCCTTTGCTATAACGTTTCTGCATTGCTGCAGACCAAGAGAGGGCCAGCTCGGAAATCATGAACCAAAATAAATCCTTAAGTGATTGTTTCTCGGATTTTGTCACAGTGATGACGAGGCTTAGACAAGTTGATGACTTGTCCAAGGTGACAGTGAATCAGTGGCTGTTTGGGAGTTGGATGCAGATTTGAGTAATGATAAAGTCTGTGCTGGGAAGAGAGGTGACATTTCCCTACCAAAAACCTGAAGCCAAAGTGGTTAGGAGTTTGTCAGTGTACACAATAGACCCCTCGTGGCACCATTTCCCGGGAATAGGTTAAAACAATGGAGGTTAAGAGTCAGGGCCCATGGGTCTGGATTAGAAAGACTAACTTCCTCCCTCCTACTTTGTGAGATACTGGACACAAGATCTGCTTTGCTTTAGGGCTCCAGTTCCCTGGAAATCCTGGAAAATCCTGGATGAATGAATCCTGTCCATGAAGATAAGCCACAGGGCTCTATCCTTGATGCTATTGGGTTCAATCAATTACCGTGTGTGTGTGTGTGTGTGTGTGTGTGTGTGTGTGTGTGTGTCCGCGCACACACACACCAAAGGTCAGATTTCTTCTTCCACCATGTGAGACTGAGCTCAGGTTGCTTGTTGGCCATCACCTTTACCTGCTGAGCCATCTTGACTGATGACATATTCACTGGGAGGTCTGGGAATGGCCACAGGAGTTGTGCCTCTAAGCCTACCTGATTCCACAGCCTGTTCACACACACTGTCTGTTTATTACCCATTTCAGAGCCAAGATACCGAGACTCAAAGGGATTTTGTTCCTGCAAGGTTCTATGTGTAAGGCTAGGCCAGAGGGATCCTCAGAGGACCCCTCACTTCTCATGAGAAGCAGAGTCCTGTCTTAGGTCCTGCTGTAAGCATCCCTCGCATCTCCTGAAGCCTGATCCCACTTGACAGAACCAAGGGTCAGTGGCAGACTCTGGATTCTGGACTTGCTGGGCCAGACATGTCTTAAGATCATCTGAGAACCCCTCTTCTCTCCCAAGAGTAGACCCCTGAAGCCTCCCCAGAGACATGTCTGGCCCCTGTTTGCATACTCCACTTGATGACTGGAGCTCATTCCTCTCCCAGGTTCCCATAGGTTATGTTGAGAACGCTCCCTGAGCTGTGCTTCTGCGTTCCCAGTTCTCTCCCAGTGCAGCCTGCCTCTGGGACCCAAGACACCCTGAGGAGGTCATGCCAAGACCACTTATCAGCAGCTCCTCATTCCCACCACTGGATTCTGAACTCACATCCAGATCCAGGAAACACACTATGTTTACAGGAAAACTTCAGAACAAATTTTGTGGCCAAGTGTGGTACATACTTGGAGTCCCAGCACCAGAGAGGCAGGCATTTCCTTCTGTCACACAGCTCTCAACCTCCTCTGTGACCCTTGTGCACCTGGGGCCAACCCATGGAGGTGGAAGAGGGATTTGTAGGGGTCTGAGGTTGGTCCGGGAGGGACATTAGGAAGGTATCAAACCTGAGTCAGTGTGAAGTGGGGGAGGCTGTACGGTGACATGTGTCACTCAAAGGACACTGTCCTGGGAGGTTCTCTTCTGCCACTCTAGTTAAAATCACAACCTCCTACATATGTGTGGGATTTACCCAATCTGTTATAGATTTCTTTTCAGAACCTTTAGATTTTTATTACTACATTACTTATTTATATGTGTGCTTAAATGTCAGACCACAACTCGGAAGCAGTCAGTCAGTTCTCTCCTAGTATGCGTGTCTAGGAGACTGCACTTAGGTAGGTTTGGGGGCTAGCTCTGTTACTGATGGGTCATGTCACCAGCAATCCCTCTTCACCACATCCTCCTCCTCCTTCTTCCTTCCTTTCTTCCTTCCTTCCTTCCTTTCCTTCTCTTTCTTTCTTTTTTCTTCCTTCCTTCTTTCCTTTCTTTCTTTTTCTTTTCTTTTTTCTTTTTTATTGGTTTTTTGAGACAGGTTTTCTCTGTGTAGCCCTGGCTGTCCTGTAACTCGCTCTGTAGACCAGGCTGACCTTGAACTCACAGAGATCTGCTGCTTCTGCCTCTCAAGTCAAGTGCTGGGATTAAAGGTGTCTGCCCTCACTGCCTGATCCTTTTTTTGAGACAGGGACTCTTGTAGTCCAGGCCAACCTCAGACTCACTATGTAGCTGAAGATGATTCTGAACTTCTCATCCTCCTGCCTCCACCTCCAAGATGTGTGCCACCACACCTAGCTCATGCAGTCTGAGACTGAACCCAGGGATTCATAGACAAACACTCTCCTGACAGAGTGTTTTGACCATTTGTTTGTGTTTTTAAAGCAGGGTCTTACTCTGTAGCCCAAACTGATCTGGAACTCATGGTGATCCTCCTGTCTTAGCTCTTAAAGCACTTGGATTTCAGGTGAACATTACTGTGCTGCACTTACCATCTTTGAACAACTGTTCTACTTATTTGTAAATTTATTTGATTTGCCTTCTTCACCAGGATGTAATTGCCAGGCTTTCGCCCTTCCTTTGGGACAGTGCCTGGCATGCAGTAGGTGTGCAGTAGTACTTGTGGGAGAACTGAATTCCAGATGTGACTCAAGTACGTGTGCACTGGCACAAGGAGCAGAAATCTGCTGGGAGGTGCAGGGAGCTTGGCTTGAACTTTGCGCGGAGAGCCTGCAGTGTGTGGTTTGGGGGACTAGGATCAGCAGAGATGGGGTGTCCAGGCTACTCCTGGAGCTGCTTGTCTGGCTTTCTGAGCAGTTTGGGTGAGAAGAGATCCAGCTGAAATGGGAAAGAGGCTGCCTGTCTTCCTCGGCTCTCTGCCCTCTCCTCTGGTGTCTCTAATCGGAATCTCTTCCAGGCACCCAGGCTGGCTTCTGTCTGCTTTGCGGGTGCTCCCAGATTCTAGCTTTTCAGAATCACCACTTCCATGTGAGGCCTCTGATCCAGCCCCTGGCGCAGTAGCACCCCAACTTCTCTATGCCACCTGCACCCCACTCCAGGACCCAGACCTACATGCACACAGCTAGTAAGTCGATATCCCTTAGCATGACACCGTTAGGATGGCTCAGCCTCACACCTGGCTAAGCATGGCTGGAGGACATGAGGGTCCCGCTGTCTCCCCCTCTGCAGACTGATCTGGCATGAACTCACTCCCCTCTACTTAATCTCTTTTCTCACTTCTTCACCTTTGATCCCAGCAGCCCTCAGATAAGCCAGCTTCAACTTCTTGCCACCGAATGAACCATCTGCTCCTCCCCCCTGCTCCCCATCACCCCCTCCGTTGTACCCTTCCGCTCCTTACATGCTGGTTCCTTACCCTCAGACTGCACTTCCTCTCAACAAAAGTTCTCTGTTGACCTCTCCAGCTGTGCCTCTTCCTCCTTCATAGTCATGCTTGTGAATGAACCTTCACTTCCTGCCTGCACCCACTGCTCACACCCCTATGGTCAAGCACAGGGCACAGTGAGGAGAGACAGCAAGCTCCCAGTCCTCTAGATGAGGCAAGATGAGACTGAGGTGCTCTGATAGAAACCTCCAGAATGACCTGACAAGCCGAGAGGGTTGAGGGGCTCAGAGGCTGCAGGTGAAGCTGATGTGGGGCCAGGTGAGGAGCACTGCTCTGAGGCTTCCAGGAAAGGCCTAACCCCTGCCTGGACCTTAAAGGAGGGGCATGGGAACTTTAGAAAGAGGCGACTAGGCTGGGTGGGCATGGTGGCTCATGACTTTAATCCCAGCACTCAGGAGGCAGGTGAATCGCTGTGAGTTTGAGGCCATTTTGGTCTACATTATGAGTTCCAGGACAGCCAAGGTTACACAGAGAAACCCTGTCTTGAAAAACAAACAGACAGACAAAAACAGAAAAATAAAAGAAAGAAAGGGGGTAGCAGGACTAGCAGGGCTCTGGGACTAGGTGGCTCTGTGGTACCCTCGGGAGGAGCCCTCAGTCCACCTGGAGAGACCTTTGCACCGCTGTGTCCCGTCCCCACTCCCACCTCTTTGGTCTGGCTCCCTGCTCCAGGAAAAGCAAGGTACTGACTCAGATTTCTGGGAATTTGGAAAATTCCAGTACTTGATCCCCCTTGAGGCTAT